GAGAGAGAGAGAGAGAGAGAGAGAGAGAGAGAGAGAGAGAGAGAGAGAGAGAGAGAGAGAGAGAGAGAGAGCAGATCCCGTTAGCACGGCTCATGCAGGCAATATGGAGGGTCCTCGCAGCACTAAACTGCAGACCCTCCATCAAAATCGAGGCCGGTAGTGAGTATGAAGTAGAGCACGAGTTGGCCCAATATATCCTCAGGATTGAAGTTCAGGTCTGTGTTTCAGCAGTTATGGGTTGCTTAGGCAGTGTTGGTCTGCAGAGTCTGCACGTGGTTCTCAGGGCTTGGCTGCACCACTCACGTAATGTGCAAATTTGCAAACTTAGAAAGAATCTACCGCAGAATGTGGAATAATACACCACCATATGTTTTGTCTTTTGTGTATGTGGTGAGTAACGGCCCTTAGGGCCACTGCACGTATTCCTGAGAAAACGAAAACTTGAAAACAAAAGAAATAGTGACCCATAACCGAGAATCCGAGATGCACATCCCTGAATTCGAATCCAGAGTATATATTCTCTGCTCACGCTGGTGACTGGAAGTTTGAAGTTCGCCTCAGCTGCACGTAAAGTCCTAGCTAATTCGCTATAAGGGCCCTTCGAAAAAGAGGCTGGACACAATTAGGAAATGAATACTTGCATGTATAGACGAGTGCCAACAGTTTCGGGGTATCGTGTGGCCCCTACTTTTCTCCCTCTTGCTTTCTAATTTTTAGAAGTGAGGGGAGTGCTTGGCCACCCCACTCTGAACTTTCAATTTTTTTTTTATTTTTTTTTTGCCGCATCACGTGCGGCGCATCTCATGCGCGTGCGCTTTGCGCCGCATGTGCCGCGCCCCCGCGCATGAGATCCGCCGCAAGTATGCTTTGCTCTTATTTGGTATATTTTTTTGGTGCAATCTGCTTTCCGTTCGGAGAACTCCGGACACATGAGTATCCAATTTTCTATGGGCTGATGCAGTTTGGTTTTTGTCATTCGCATTGTTCATTTTCCTTTGTACAGTTATTATATTTTTTCTAGAATTTAGAACTTCTTTGAGTCGCCTTTCCCCCCCCCCCCCCCCCCCCCCCCCCCCTTCTCTTCCTGAGAGACTAATTAAGAACCACCACATTTTCCAGCCTCTTTCTTCCTTACCCCCCCCGCCGCCCCCGGCTTTGCAGCAACAGACAGGCTCAAAATCTTTGCAGCAGAGACCTGGTTACGATTCCGTGCCCAAGGCCATACTCACACTACCATTTTCGTACATGAATCTGACTGCAATTACGGCCCAACCTCGATGCATCTGACGGTAATCACATCCAGAACTCAGTCGAAAAGGTCCTACCGTCTTCACCCGAATACGACGTACGGTCATGATAGCTGTATTTGAGGCATCTTTCAGTCTAGATACAGCGATAATGACCGTACATTGTATTAGGGGGAAGAAGGTAGTGTGAATTTGCCCTAAATCATCGAAGCCTGCTCTCCTCACCTTGAGAGAATTCAACCTGGGCACTGCGCAGATGTGGTGAGACAAGGGCTCCAAACCAATTCAAAGGGGACAAATTGCCTCCAGGCCGCGATCCTCCTCCTGGTCGTTCCGCTGCCAGAGCATTCAAAGCTTCCCCCTCGTCGGTTCCCGCGTCTTCTGAAATCCCAGAGTTCGCTGCACCTAATCATGTACCACACAGTAGGCGAAAGAGGGAAATGCAGAAATCAAGGACAAGGTCGGGAACTCAAACCTGAATGTGTGTCACATATGGTATTATGGATCTGTGAGGGAAGTGTCATTTTTTTTTTTCACGACAGGACAGCGATGCGGGGAAAAAAAGTAGAGATTTGAAATTGCGGAATAACCGTCCAGGGTCGGCAAGATGGCTCCATCTTTTTCAGCAAGCTACTACATATGCATCGCCAACTTGCCACCATGCGTCACATAGCAGTAAATCAAGACCAGATTCATGACATCACATGTGGAAGAAAACAGCAGAAGAGGTCCCTCCTCGGGACCGCCACCATCGAAATTGCGAATGATGCAAAGAGGATTAGCATGGGCCTCTGCAGAAGCATGAATGAATGGGTCCCACTTGGGTTGTTATACATAGATATATATTATTTCAGCTGCACACCTGTCTGATATATCAGCACACAGCTGCAGCCTGCAGATCAACTGCCGTTCAAAATGATGAATGGAGAAGAAGGGGCGGGAGAAGAGTCAAGTGCTAAGTAGTCAGAGACAGAGGGACAGATGAAGGGGCAGGGTCCTTTTTTTTCAATGAAGGGTGATACGGATGATGGTGCGGCAAACAAAGTAATGACATATGGATGACTTGATGCAATAGTTGTCACTGTGACGAGCCGCCTTGGCCACACAGACAGAAAAAAAAAACAGTCAGCCGACAGAATCTGCTAGACGACAAAAGAAACAACATGCGTCATGTGCGAGCGAGCATAGAGTCCGCGCAGTGTCCATGCCGCAAAAGCGGACATGCTATGCCAGACTGCAGAGGGCACATCCTAGGAGGAAACCCATTTCACATGGCAGCAGATCTGGCTGCAAAAACTCACTTCATTGTGGGGCGAGTCTGCCGCAGAGACGATGAGCGTGAGTCTGACTGAGACAAACTTGGGATTGACTTTGAGAGATGGAGGTTGCATCTGTCACAGAAACGACAATGGGGGAGAGTCGGGATTGAGTTTGCGAGATGGAGGGTGCATCTGTCACAGAAACCACGACAAGTGGTGATCATTGTGTTTGGCGCCCCAAGTGCCGAAAGACACACGAAACGGCTGGTGGATTGACATGGGCAGATTCAAATTCCAAACACGCCCACTGGCGGATTTGAAGTCTGAACTGCCATCGCCAGACTTGAGCAATGAGAGCACACACCTTTCCCTTTTCTCTGTCGGAGTCCTTGCTCCTGCTTTCGGCCTTCTCCTGAGTGCTCTTCATTCCGAGAATCATCCGATGGGCGCTCGTCCTGGACGGTTCTGCAGGGACCTCTCGTCTGCAGCACAAAACGGGGAGTGGCTATGCCATCACCATCCTCGGGATCTTCCTGACTTGTTCTTCCACCTGTACGAGGCAAGAAAGCAGAAGCTCGATCACTGCTCCGAACACTTTCCTGTTTAGGTATTGTGAAAATACAATGGACGAGGAGCTAGAGCATCCATCGCCATCCTGAGCTTCCTACTGCCGGACCTCTTGCAGCAGCTTTCCAAGCCAAGAAAGCCGCAGCAGACCGAACATGCCCCTCAATCCTTCTTTCTCCTTTTCTCTTTTGCCCCTCAGTCCTTCTAAAGATTGGCATCGGGAGCAATCAAACAACCTCGACAACATCGGCACAAAGAGCTTAATTAATAGATCGGCCTTGGGGGTGCGGGGAGAGAACAGTCTGGGGGGGAAATGGGGATTCCGCGTAATCAAATAGCCTGGACAAAAGGCTTCTGCCAAAGGGCAAAAAAAAAAAAAAAAAAAAAAAAGTCCGGACAACACAGTGGACAAAATTGATAGGTCTCTTTGGTGAGGCACTCACATCTTTATCTTTAGAAGATTTGCAACAGGATAATGCAAAGGGGAAAAAAAAAGGAAAAAAAAAAGGCGATCGGCCAACAACGTCCTCTCAATCTTGCTGTCTAGCTCTTGCAACTGCACAACACAAGTTTCAGCTCCTGCAAAGTGTGTCATACAAGCTAAAAGACTGTGACCGTTAGCTCAGTTGGTGTGTAGTACTTGGTACACCCCCCCCCTCAACTGTTGAAACATCCCCTCAGCTCAGTTCGAGCTCCGCTGGAAACAGACGACTAAAATACAATTCTAAATTACCTCGCGCACCCCCCCCCCCCCCCCCCCCCAAAAAAAAAAAAAAAAAAAAAAAAAAAAAAAAAAAAAAAACTAAAAAAAAAAAACCCCGACTCCAGAAGCGAAGTGGCAAAACAAAAAAAAAAAAAAAACAAAAAATACAAAACTGATAGAGCGTGCCCATGACTGGCAGCTGAATTCGTGCATGCACGCATACAAAACCCTTTGTCCCAAAGCTTAAACCACCACTACCTACCGGTTGTTGCGGCCGTTAACGCGGTATAACGCGGTATAGCCGAATTGCGAATCGGTCTGCCCGTTGGGTTCATATTCATTCGAGCCGGGGGGTACGAAAAATAAATGCGGCAGGTACTGGTGGTTTAAAGAGTTGCAAATCTTGTCCAACACGATGACGTGTTGCACCCTAGGTGGAGCAGTTGAATTTGTGCACACATACAACTGTTTGACGACGAGCTTAACGAGTTCAAATCTTGTCCAATAAAATGACAGCTAGCCGGGGTCAGCATCTCCTATGTTTGACTTTTTGGTTCATAACCAGCCTGGTCCAAGGTTGACTTTTTGGTTCATAGCCCCTTTCTGGATGATAGCCAGTCCATGTTTAACTTTTTGGTTCATAGCCAGCCTGGTCCAAGTTTGACTTTTGGTTCATAGCCAGTCTGGTCCAAGTTTGACTTTTTGGTTCATAGTCAGCCTGGTCCAAGTTTGAGTTTTTGGTTCATAGTCAGCCTGGTCCAAGTTTGACTTTCTGGATGATAGCCAGCCTGGTCCAAGTTTGACTTTTTGGTTCATAGCCAGCCTGGTCCAAGTTCGACTTTCTGAATGATAGCCAGCCGGGGTCCAGCAGCTGTTTTATTTTATTGTTTTATATATTTTTTTCCTTTTTTCATTCGTTTTTTGAAAAGAGCGATGGCCTTGAGATATCATCATTGAACTGACCGGCCCCAGGTAATTCAGAAATATTTTCTTCCGGTCGTCTGATCGTAGTTGGGTTTGAACCCGGGTCTGTATTTCAACATTTCGTGGGTGTGGCAACTGAGCTAGGCCCGCTGGTGTTTCCTTGTTAAGGGTGCCAAAGAAAAAACAGTGCAGTACCCCTACGCCCCCAAAAAGAAGAAGAAGAAGAAATCCTTCGGGACATCCCTTAAAATTGGAACGATACAAAGAACGAAGGTCAGCACTAATACTTCACGGGTACAGGTTTACTTTCTTAAACGTATCTGACCGTGATTCCAGCCCGGTGTGAGTGCTCTTGCTAGAATATAGAATGTACATTAAAAAAAAGGCAGCTTCTGTCCTCAAGATGCCAAAAAAAAAAAAAAAAAAACGCCACACTGCAGTCACCATCACGTGCTGCATCCGCCCCCCTCCTCCCCCCCCCCCCCCCTCAAAAAAAAAAAAACAAAAACAAATACCAATCCACCTTCTACAAAGGCTTATTGGAAAGGCCACGTTCTAGCAAAGGCGAAATTGGAAAGGGGCATCGAATCTATCGATCCATTGCCTACAAAGGCTTATCGAGAGTAAAATAGATGGATTGTCACTACCTTTTTTTTTTTTCTTTTTTTTTTTTGTTTTCCCCTCCACTACCTTGTCTATTCTTTCCATCTTGAGAAGACCACCCCCCAACTCTTGGGGGGGGGGAAAACAAAACACACACACACACACACACACACACACACACACACACACACACACACACACACACACATTTAAACCATCATCAATGGTTTCCATTCCTGCTCAATTGAGAAAACAAGCAAGGGAAAAAAAAAAAGCAGATACTCAGGGCATATTCACACTTGATGCATCCGACGCTAATTACATCCCCCCCACCTGAATGTATGTGACCGCAATTACGCCCAGAGTTCAGTCGAAAAACTCCGAGAGTGAACATGCCCTCAGATCGTCATCAAAAGTTAATGGGCCTCGCTCCACTACTCTGGGCATGTGCAAAACGAGGGTGAATATTCCGCTAGAACATGGAAACATACACCACCATGAGTAGTGAAGCGAGGCCGTATATCTACAGTCTTCCATAGCCATATGAACTTCCATTGTTTCCATGCCGGTGCAGGTGAGAAGACAACCATCTTCCCCTGGAATACAATGCACCTTCATTATGGCTGCCTGCACCAGGCCAGAAAAATAGCTTGTATTCATTCATTATCCGGTGCGGTTACGTTCCCGGAAAGATGGTAGCATACACTCAAGCCATGACAGCTTCCTTGTCATCCAACCAACCTACAATGTCGACCAATGCTGTGGCAGATATGTCCCTTGAGTCATATTGCAGACGCCCAACTCGAGAAGGTCCCATCGCATAGCGAGCTTGCGCCACGTTGAAGAATCCCTGCATTCCATTTATATATTGTCACAAGAATATCAGAGCGCAAATGTGAAAAAAAGGAAAAAAAGGGAAAAAAGAAAGAAAAACACGAAAAAATGAATTCAGTTTTTTATCTTCTTCCTTATAACTCCCCCTGTTCAGAACCTCTTGCGTACAAGGTCGCCCATGTGGATGTAAGTTGAGCGGCGGCTGCCCCCACCCCCGTGTGTCATATCGACCCACTTGCACACCTCTTGCGTACAAGGTCGCCCATGTGGATGTAGGTTGAGCGGCGGCTGCCCCCACCCCCGTGTGTCATATCGACCCACTTGCACACAGCCAAAAGGCAAAGAGGCAAAGAAGAGAGGAAGGGAACAGCCAAATAAAACAGACAGAACAGGGGGCAACAAAACAGATCCCAGATGATAAGTCCCACATGCAAGCACCGCCCCTGCCCACAGGCCAAACGACAGGACAAGACCAACCAGGATGCCAAAACCTTAAATGCAAAGAAATCAAAAAAAGTACCAAAAAGAACCCATCCCGGATGACGATTCCCGCATACAAGCACCGCCCCGTGCTCAAAGGGCCGAACAACGGGAAACAACCAACCAGGATACCAAGACAATAAAAAAACAGCCCCCCGGATGACTGCTCCCACATGAAGCACCGCTACCTGCAGCAACATAGACCGAATAACAACGGGACAAAACCAACCGGGATGCAGCGGACAAGGTTACCAAAACAAATTCTACAATTATATCCATAGTTAAAAAAAAAAAAACGGAACCATACAGTAGGTCCGCAAAACGAAATACCCCTAAAGAGGGGAAAAGCAACACGAGAAAATGTGGGATGATAGGACGAGGATTCAGGCTATTTCCAACGTAAATGAATTCTTGGGTGCACTGACAAAAAAATCAAGGAAATATTTTCTACCATAACCAAA